ACTATTCATTTCTGCCTTTGCCTTTCATCTACTCATCTATCTGCCTAAGGAAATAGGAATCTTCTTCCCACATATCCATTGGTATTGGATTGCTGACCAATTTGAGATTTTAAACTAGACTAGATAGTAGATGCAAGAATTTTGAAAGTCTTGCGCTATTCGACTAGCATACTATAAGTAGAATATGTAAATTCGTTTAATTGTATGCTGACGTGAAGCTTTTTTCTTCACTCTGTACCCTTCATTGTTAAAATCTATATACTTAGGCCCTGTTTGAGCAACATTATTTTTTTCATTCTCATTCTTCTACTCATTTTTAACCACAAATTTTTTAATAAAATAATATTTTCCATCACATCAACAGTAAAAATGCATTCTTTTTCCAAAAATGTACACCAAACGGGAGCTTAACGCATCGTTTTTAACTTGTTGTATTGAAATCGTATCGATATTGATTATATTTTTGGGTTTTTGTAACAAGACACTAGTGTTGTGAAATGGCAAATAAGCAAATCTAGGGACATGGAGGGCAGTGGTACCTCAAACTATATTAATATTTGTATTGATCAGTAATAAAGAGTTTGTTGAGTGCAGGTGCAGCTAATTAAAAAAAAGAAAAGAGAGAGAGAGAAGTCACATGATTTTTCATGTAGCAATTGAATATGTGTGTGTGTAGACCCTTTGTCCTTTGCGAGCTTTATTGAGGAACTTTGCGTCTTTGGCATTATGATGATAAAACCAAAGTGTGACAGCGCAATTCATGGGGCTTGAACAAGGTTGCACCCAACAACAACTCCCTGCATAATTCAACATACTTTTCAGATTTCAATGAATACCAACAAATAAGTTAATTGATATATGCTCTAATCTTTATAGATTAGTAGATAGACACAAAGATATATACATACACAGCAAACATTTGTTAGTGAAAATTATTTTTCTTAAATTTACTCGAATTACACATTTTTCTAGTAAAATAATTTAGTAAATTTTAATAAAAATTGATGAAATGTATGATTTAAAAATTATTGATTCTTTTAAATAGAGTAATTCTTTTAGCTTTTTCAAGCTAGCACAAAATATGTTGTCTAATATGCCTTTCTTTGGCGTGAATTGGTTGGTGGTATCATCACGACACACGCATAACCAGGACAGAGAAAGAAGCTTGGAGCATGGGAAAGCAAAATGTTAATTAAATTCATAAAATATTAATACTTCTAGGTAAAGGGTTTATTTTATTTTATTTTGTCAATTTCAATTGCTTACTTGTCTAATGAGTGAATTTTATTTTTGATTTTCATACATTAAGTACATGGTTCGAAGATAACATAATTTTGTATTAGACAATATAATGTATACAATTTTTATCATTTTATTTTTGAATACCACTTAGGTACTCTTTATTTATACATACCAAATATATCGTAGTTGTTTATTTTTGTACTGGAAAGTAGAGTTGGAGAATGACGACTACTCATACTCCCTCCGTCATATTTATATACACTGGTTTTTCTTTTTTTCTTGTCTCAATTATATAGTATTGTTTCTGTATTGAAAAAAAAAAACCATTCTAGAGATTTTTTCTTAACGTAGTAATAATTAATATCAAGTTCACCATCTTAGTGATATTTGAACTAATAAAAAATAATTAATATTAACTTGACAAGTAAGAATTATGAACTCTTCATATTATTAACATATAGAGGATGGTAGCGTGCATTAAAAGGTAATTGGAGTTGAAAAAAAAATGATTTCTTAAAAATTGTCAAAAACAAACAAGGAAAGGAACAAATTCTTGTAACATACATCGAGGGAAATATGCCATTGTTTTTTCATTACTTAAAAAGTATAAACGGAATAACTTTGCCAAATGCCTTCCATTTGGAGAATGGTACCTCAATTACTATTTTATCTATTAATAATTGTCATTGAGAAGTCTCTTCTTCTTTTTCTTTTTCTTTTCACTTCTATGTCTATCTACATAAATTCATAATTTTAGAGGTAGATTGGTAGAGCTTAGTCAAAAATTATCTCTTGAACTAAAAAGGTACTTTTGTATACGTTTAGATAATTTTCAATAAGTACTTTATTTGAATATAAGAATGTGTTTGATTGACATGAAAAAATATATCATAGAAAAGAACAAACACCTACTCCCCATCAAAGAAAACGTTTTCCTTAAAAGTTGAAAAATATTTTCTGAAAAAAAATAGCAATCAAACACTTCAAAGTAGGAATTTAGGTGAAAAACTGACATTTTTCATGAAAAATAAATGTAATAAAAAACATCCTAGAAAAATCATTTCTCAAAAAATAGAAGCAAAATTTGAATTTAAATGTTGATATGATGAATAACTGTCATATTTTTCATTTTAATGAGAAAATAAAGTGGCCCAAACGGGGGCTTAGATGAAAAACTGACATTTTCCATGAAGCAAAATTAGAAATCATATCCACCTTTTCCTAAAAAAAACTCTTTTCACAAAAAATAGAAGCAAAATCAGAAATCATGTCAACCGAACCCTTAGTACGTTAAACTAAATAATCAAATTAAATATTGATTAACAAAAAGTGAACTTATCTAAAAAGAATAGAGAAGGAAGGCGAAATAAGTTCACAAAACAACCACTCAATAACTTGATTAAAGTGCCACTCTCCCAAAGAAAAGCATTTGGCGAAGTGATTCCATTTTACCTTAAAAATTAAAAAGAATTTGTTCATTTCATTAATTTTTTTTAAATCAAATTTAATACAAGGGTAATGCTACATGTACACACACTTTTACACAATCTTTTACACCTCTCTCACATGGAGGGGGGTCCACGATTATTTTATTATGTGTGGGCCCCCCTCCATGTGAGGTGGGTGTAAAAAATTGTGTAAAAGATTGTGTACACTTAGCATTATTCAAATCTCAATGCTCATTTAAGTTGATAAACCAAAACCATACTCTCAATCTACCAAATTGATGAATTTTGGTCGTTCTCATAATCTTTTTTTAAATGGGTAATGCTACATGTACACACACACTTTTACACAATCTTTTACACCTCTCTCACATGGAGGGGGGTCCACGATTATTTTATTATGTGTGGATCCCCTTCCATGTGAGAGAGGTATAAAAAATTGTGTAAAAAATTGTGTACACTTAGCATTATTCTTAGTACAATCATCATTGATGGTGCAAGAATAATGCCACCGAGTTACAAAAAGTTAGACACTTCTTATTTGTCAACTTAATAATAATTAATTCTGACCAAGTTTTTCCCCCTAACTCAAATACGTTTAAAATAATTGAACAAGATGGACCCGAAACTAAATATATTATTAATTATTTGATTTATTTCTTTTTTATGGAGGTGAAAAAAATTAATACACGATAATAATTTAACCACGTGTGAGGATAATTATCACCTAGGGGAGCGTTTCCCATGCGGCACGCACGTAATAAGTTGTCCTCAAAATGGACAAACTGCCCTACGCATACACTGCAAAGGACATCGTACATGGGTCCCACTATGTCTGTCGGTATCCCTCCCACGTGTCCCTCCACGTCGTATATGGTACGACACGTGGTGAAGCTCAACTTAGTCATCGAATCAGGACAAATATGAAAATCCAGAATCACCCCTAATGTTTGGGTGAAATTACGGAATGACCAGATCTGTGTTGGTTACAAATGACGTTCGAGTTTTCGACCGAGTCAAGAAAATTTAAGGATTATGGAGTAGCATTTTTCTAACTGAATCGATCTCAAAAGAGAAATGAAAGTTACATTCACGATAATTTTTGTTTGATTCATCATATTTTTAATGAAATAACAATTTTCAATTAATTTATTTACTTTCTGATTGATTTTCTAATATTTTGTTTCATTCTTATTTTTGACCTTCGTTAATTAATATTTTTGTTCACGATGACATTTTTATATAAAAAAAAGTGTTTTGAAAAGAGGGTAACGAATTTATCAAACCTTTGTATTTTGTATGCTTTTGCTTGTATAAAAATATGGCTCGACCCGGAAGAGCAAACCACTCGTTAGATAAACCTTTGAAAGTCGTTTTAGTTACGAGATTGAATCGTCTGCTCTCCTTTTGACTACAATTTTTTAATTTGATTTGACGGCGAGCAAGCATAGTATGATAGCACATAGCACACCAAAAATGCTACATATGCGAGGCTACATGTGAACGAGAGTAATGTGTGAAGGAATAACTATTCAACCGTAGGGGTGACAAAAATGTCGAATAGCTTGTCAGCTCGACTCGTCGAAACTTGGTCTGGAGGCTCGTCTGACGAGCTGAGCAACAAAAAAGTTAAAAAAAAAAAAAAGGAGCTTGTGCTTGAACGAGCTTGAGCTCAGCTCATGGGTATCGGCCCAATACCACTGCTATTCAACCCCCGAAACTTTTGTAGAAAATATAGAAAGACGAGAGAGAGAGTAAAAGTCAGGCAAATGAGCCTTCCGTGCCTTTTTAAAGGATTTTTTTAAATAAAAAAAATTGTCATCAAGGGTAATATATATTAATTAATGGAAAACTAAAGATAAAAATACGATGTAAAAAATTAAAAATATAAATATTATAATGATCAAATTCTAAAGATCTTTATTGCAATTAAACAGTAAAACATGAATTCAAAAATCGAGGGTGAAAATATCTCCAACGCCATCACTCCAACAAACAAAACAAAAGAAACAAACAAATCTCTCTCGCTCTATCTCTAAAATAAAATTCTTTTCACCAACTTTTTTCTCTCTCTATCCTTAAAGCCAAACCAAACCCTTAATAAACCCCACCCATTTTGGCCTGCATTTTCCCATTTATGAATGCCATTTTCCTCTCTTCCATTCATTGTTCTCTCCACCAGTCCACAAAGCCAAAGATTTCAAAGATAATCACGCAATTACATCACATACACACATATAAAGACAGAGTATACAGATACATCATACATATAGGAACATCTCCTTAGTGACCAAGAATTCACCATATATATTAATGGCTGTTGAAGCTCGGCATCTCAGCCTTTTTCCTCCACAGATTATTAGCAATAGGTAAATACTTTCACTTTATTGATTTCTTTTTCCTGTTTTCATGTTCTTTCTTGATGTATTATTTATGCTTTTGAATGAATCCAGAGAAATGGCGATGAATGTTATTGAAGGCAATGGAAATACGTACAGTACTCCGTTGGCATACGGAGCGGTGGCTACAACGACGGCGACGCAGACTGTGCTTCCTTTGTATGGTTCAGTGATTAGCGATTTGGCTCCGGCGAAGACTGGTACAATGAAATCGGACAGTAGTCTCACGTATGCCCTTCCTATTTCTAGAAAGCGTTCAAGAGATGCAATCAATCCTCTGCTTTCATCGTACCCTAGCGTTTCCCACAATCAAAATGCAAATCACAGTTGCGGTTCCATCACTTTCCTCGGCGAAGATATTTCTTTTCAAATTCAACAACAGCAATCAGAAATTGATCGCTTTATTACTCAACATGTAAGATTATATTCCGTCGGTTCATATTCACTTTCGTTTCTAATTTACTCGGTTGGTTAACATATTGGTTTCTATCAGATGGATAAAGTGAGGATGGAAATTGAAGGTACGCGAACGAGATATTCTCAGAGATTAGCGGCGGCAGTTGAAGAAAACATAATGAAAAAACTGAAATGTAGAGAGGAAGAAGTTGAGAAGATTGGGAAATTAAATTGGGCGTTAGAAGAGCGAGTGAAGTCTCTATGCGTGGAGAATCAGATATGGCGAGATTTGGCTCAAACAAATGAAGCCACAGCGAAGACCTTGAGATGCCATCTCGAAAAAGTCCTCACTCAAGTCAAGGACGAACAGCAACAGCAGCAACAACGCCACTGCGTCGACGATGCCGCCGCGGCGTTGATCGACGACGCAGAGTCATGCTGCGGCAGCAACTTCGACGAAAACGACCGGCTCGTATTACCGGAATTCTCCTCCCGGGAATTTGTCAACAATTCCAACGGTGGTGGTGCGTGTACGAAGAGAGTGGACAACACTGTAGTGAGTAACAAGAACAGGATGTGCAGGCGGTGTGGGAAAGAGGAATCATGTGTGCTGCTTTTGCCGTGCAGGCATCTCTGCCTCTGCACTGTGTGCGGGTCGTTCCTCCATACTTGCCCCATATGTAACTCCACCAAAACCGCTAGTGTTCACGTTAATCTTTCCTCCTGAAATTCAGATCCTCTTTTCGGCAATTTCAATAAAAATCGCAAAAAGTTATCACTATCAGTAACGTCTCTATAACAAGATTTAGACTATTAGTTCCAATCTTTATCTTTTTCATTTAATTTATCTCTGTAAATTGTAATTAATCTTAACCTTCAACATTTTGATCTTTTCCCTTGTATTCGTAAGTGTTGATTTTGTGTTTTGAGTTTTGGCGGGTACTCAAGTTAGCACAATATCGGCGCATGTTAGCACAATGTGTTATGGGGGACCCACACGAGGTTATGGAAGAGCGTATTTGTTGGACGCGTAGGGCTCTCTATGAAATCAACTTTGGGGACGAAAGTGAAAAGCGTGACACGTGGACCTGCGCGCTGTTGTCGCGTTTTAATAGGGAAAAAAGAGAATCAAATATTTTTTTTTGGGCGTCCGGCCAAAACTTTAGCCTCCGTGAAAGGGTTTAATTTATAAATGGATAATATTTGTAATCGAAAAATAAGTTTAATAGATTTATATATAGGCTATAAATAATTTATAATTACTTAAAAGTTAAAAGAGGGGAGAAGTGCAGATAATACACAATTCAGTATTATAACTAGGTTTAGTCGAGTATTTAGCTCCCGTTGGACAACCTTTATCTTAATTTAATTTTATACGTAAATTCATAAATTTTTCATATATTATTCAAAATTATGTTTTGAAATTTGTAAGGCCAATAAACAGGCTTAATGCTTAGTTTATGAAAATTGAGTTTCGTTTATCAAAGCTAAGAAACGTAAAGCATTGAATAATTCATTGATTGATGCTGAAAAATCTGTATCTATAACCGACGGCGGAGAGATAGGCGTTGAGTTGATGGCGTTTTAATGCGGGCGCGTACTATGCACGTCGTTGAGGGTGTGTGTGGGGGGTCAGTGACCCTATCTATGGTCATTGTCGAGAGAGCACGACATAGTACCAAGATTAGATGCATATAATAATGGTGTTGTGATGATGTTTTGTTGGCAAGATGTTTTACTATTTTTAAAATAGGAATGATGCCAATTAGGGTTAGGGCAGGCCACTTGTTTAGATTTGGAGTTGAATATTTGGCCATTTGAATTGATTGATGGTCTGTGGATTGGCATTTGGCACTGACAATGTCGTTTTCACTGCCACAAATTTCTACCCATTTCATTTGATTTTACTTGCACTTTCAAAAACCTACTCATTTCTTTTCTCCTTCTTCTTCTTTATCACCCTTTAATAAAAGCTGATTTAACCTATTATAAATAATTTATAAATCAACACCAAATAAGGACTAAGTTGTTTAATTCATGTTTGGCTAATGCTTATAGCTTATGTGCCATGTATCGATCAGATTATTTTTTATTCATTTATTAAGAGATGATATCTATATTTTTTTCCTCCACATCCTCTCTTTGAAAGAAGGGCATTTTCGATCTCCCTTTATTTGATCTAATATGTATCTCCTTTCTCGATTATCGCTTATCCACCATTATTTTTTATTTTTATAATTTAAATAGAGAGAACAACTAGAAATGCTAATCGACATTAATAATGATTTGATAAGAATGACAGTATAAATTTTATGTAACTTGAAAGCAAAACTTGGTCAAATTGTTTGAAGAGGTAAGATGTTACAACATCAATCAATCAATTTTATGTCCTAAAATAATAGTAATAATAGAGTTGAGTACAGAGAGGGAAATGATAAGTGTGTCAATGAATAGAGAAGTAAAGGTGGTATCTTCATTTATCTTTTCTTATTCTAAACGTTTTGCTTGATCTTTGGACTATACCGTGTTTGAGTGAAATCTCAAATGGGATGCATGTACCTTAAAAGGTTCTTCAAAAAAAAAAAAAAGGAATTTTGGATTTTTTTTTTTTTATTAAGAAGAATATGGAAAGTTGTCTCTCTAGAACTTATCTACTCTTATTATAAAGAAATAAAAAAAATTAAAATTATACCGAGATTTGAATGGTTCATCGTAACTTGTTTGTTTGGTATAATCAAGATTTGTGAAATGACAACAAGTGTTGTAGGATCTTGTTATGAGCCAAACTTATGGTTTTGAAAATAAGTTTGATTAAATTGGGTGACTAACATAAAGGGTTAAACTAGTGTAACAAGTTTAGTGATAGGATCATATTCTGGGTGTTGTAACGGCAGATTTTGTTTGGCGGGCTTTTCTAACTTTTTTTCCTATAATCGTCTGTAAATTTTTGACGAGTGTTTATTCGTAAAATTCTGTCATTCACCCGGTTTCTATGGCACAATTGATTAGTCCGTCAATTAAAAAAAATCGACAGGTGATTTATCCATCAGACCGCCCACCCATTTTATATATTGGAAGAAATATGTCTTCAAATTCATCAATTTAATTGTCGAGAGGGCCCGGTGTACAAAAGCCAAAGTTAGCATTAATGAGGAGGTGACACAAAAATAATTGAGAAAGAGAGATTAAGATCTTTACTTGAGAGGGGCCCACTATATCAGGACCGCCTGTCGCTTTATGACCGGCATGCATTTCCTGATTCACCCTTTTCTTTGTTAAATAAAAAAAAAGTTGAACCTCAATCTTGAGTGCCCTCACCGGCCAGTCTTTAGAGCATTGTGAAGAAGGTAAATCGCGGGATGTGCTCAATTAGATCGGGATATAAGAGTTGTCATACTGCTACTCACAAAGAGTCCAATTTCATATCTGTAAGAGGCAGAAATTGAACCCTCACACTGCGATTACTAGCTCAGCTAAAACTACCTCACTCACGTCCTTTACACCACTGACCTATGCTTCTGGGGGCCACCCTTTCCTTTGTTACTGTTATTAAGGAAGTTTTAATTAGGCCCCGTTCGGGAGGAATTAAAATCCAATTAAAATTGAAAATATGGCCGTTATTGGGTCCCACTAGTCTAATAAAAGTCAACAATAACAGCTATATTTTCAATTTTAATCAGATTTTAATCTCTCCCATACGAGGCCTTAAAATCATGAAGTATTTAGCCCATATTTGTCATTTATTTTATCAAACATTGTTTACTACAGTAAATAATCTCCACCCCATATTCACTTAATAAAATATTCTATACACGAATTAATAAAATTACTTTACTTTTCAACCATACGTTCTTCAGAAAATATTATTTAAAACTCTATTTTTCTCCCAAAATGAGAGACAAACAACCACTTAACGTTTTAATCCTCATTTAGTGCTATTCGCACGTAAGAATAGCATTAGTCTTAAACTTTATCAATTCTCCCGTGCTAAACCAACAGTGAATTTTGCCCGTACCGAAACGTTAATGACGGGTTGTTTGTTTAGTGGTTAAACTCGCTTTTAATAATTATATTGCTATGATCGGGTTGTGATAACTCTCGGCTATATTTTAAAATATTAAGCTCTCGTCAGGTTTAGATAAAAATCAAATTTTGAATATATTTTAATAAAAATTGATAGAATATTTGATTGAAAGGCTGTATTTTCCATTAAATGTCTGGTTAAAATTAAGGCTCTGTTTGTGAGGAATTAAATTTTTCTACAGTAAATCAATTCTCATTTTCAACCACACATTTTTCAATAAAATAATATTTTCCATCACATCAATAATTTTTTTCTTTTTCAACCACACATTTCCCATCATATCACTATTCAAAATCAATTCTTCCCCCAAAAATCTCTCCCAAACAAGCTCTATAAAAGACTGATATCCTCCAATAAATGTTCCCTCTACTGTTTCAGGGGAGACTACCCATTTAATATTAAGAGGTTGTTTGTTTGAGATTCTCAAATTCTACAGTAAATCAATTCTCATTTTCAACCACACATTTTTCAATAAAATAATATTTTCCATCACATCAATAATTTTTTTCTTTTTCAACCACACATTTCCCATCATATCACTATTCAAAATCAATTCTTCCCTAAAAAATCTCTCACAAACAAGCTCTAAGTTTTCTTTGGGTTCGACTAAAAAGTTAGGTTAAAATCTTAAACACAAGTCAAAAATTAATTATAACCACATATTTCATATGACAGTTTTTTAATCATATATGGACTAAATATACTTTAAAATCTTAAATAAAAATGGTTATATGCAATGGTTTTATTTTTGTTGGGAATTAATAGGAAAGTACCATTATTTTAGCACACGAGGTTAAATTCATCAATGACCACTCAACTTTCAGTGTCATCACGACCACTCAATTTGATCTTGTTTCACAATGGTTACCCAACTTTATAGTTAGTGTCGCCATGACTACCCAATTTCATATAACGTTTCACAACGACTGTTCAACTTGTTTTTTACCCTTTTCACTAATTATAAAAATGATAACTTCACATTATATATAAAATAATTTTAAAAGGAAGTTTTTATTATTATAAAAACACTTTTTTTAAATAAAAAAATGTTCTCTTTTATTTTAAAAACGTTTTTTAAAAATAATATTTTATTTTATTTTTTAAGGAGCGTTTTTAGAAATTAACTTTCTATTTTTTTTTCTAAGTAACTTTTTTTAAACAAGTTTTTATTTTGGTCTCGTGAAATATTATAGGAAATTGATTGGCCAACGTTGTATGAAATTAGATGATCGTGATGAAATAAAATCAAATTAGGCGTTCATGGTGACATTAAGCCCTGTTTGGTACGTCAAAGTCAACAATTAATTATGACCACATATTTCATGGGTCCTACAACTTTTCAACAACACATTTCATCAATTTTTATCAAAATTTGATTTTAATCCATATCAAATAAATATTAAATATAAAGTTGGGTGGTCATCGACGGATTTAACCCTATAATCATGTAAAATGAACGATTAATACAGTAAGACACTAAGGCATAACTTAGGTGGTGCCTCCCTTAGATATGCTATGAGTTTTTAAGGTCCTGTTTGGCCACCATTTCTTAAACACATTTTTTTTCCAAATTTATTTAAAGCATAAATTTTATGGAATCTCAACTCTTATCAAATTTCAACTATACATTTTATCAACGTTTT